ACGAGTACGAGTACAGGAGCTCAGTATCGGGCCGATACCGATACCAGTATCGGTATCGGTGCATCCCTATTATTTATTCTTAATAAGGATGTTCCTTCCTCATGATGCCTGCCATGTTGAGATCACCAGCTGAACGCTGAACATTGGTTGTATCACAGGGGTCTCCAAAGTCAGTCCTGGACGGCCGGTGTCCTGCAGAGTTTAGCTCCAACTTACCTGAACACACCTGCCTGGAAGTTTCTAGTATGCCTAGTAAGAGCTTTATTAGCTGATTCAGGTGTGTTTAATTAGGGTTGGAGCTAAACTCTTGCCTTGTCCAAATACCCGCACTTGCTGTCTTTGCGCTTGACCACTTTCCTACTTAAATGACGTATTTCCTGTATTTGGTCCAAGTGTTCAAGTGCGTACGCATGAAGACCACAAGTGTGTGTAGAACTTTTCGTTACCTGATGGGACACACTTGCAGTGTTGCAAAATTGCAAGCGTTTACAGAGCTTTATTTTTATTTTCAATACTTTGCATTTTAAAATCAACTACTAAATGTCTGTTCAGTAGTCCCTATAACAGATGACAATTAAATTTTGTGGTGCTTCTAATTAAGTGATAAAAAGCAGTTGTAAATGTTGTACAAAATAATTATCACCACTACTCATTTGCGGCCCTGCATACATTGAAAATGTTTCCGTGACCTCTCGCGAGATCTTGACAAAAAGTCTCACGATTTATTTCCACAACATGATGCATGATGGGATACATAAAGCCTTGAATACCGCTCCAGGGCGGTATTCGAGATAGTGTGGATTTAGTGTGCATTAAGGGCACTGCGCTTTGGTGGTTTTAAAGGGGTGCTATTATGCTTTTTCACTTTTTGAATTTTAGTCAGTGTGTAGTGTGTATGTTTGGGCATAAAAAAGATCTTCAAACTTACAAATCTCAAAGTCCACTCCAAAGGGAGATATTTCGTTTAAAAAAAAATCCCTTTTCAAGAACTACAACGAATGGCTCGTTTGGAAGCAGGAGTGTTTTTATAATAAATTGCTGACAGTACAATACTGGACAATGATGTAATCTGCAGAATTTACACTTCAATTATGAGACTACAGTGTTTCCCATACATTGAGTGCGGGTGTTTTTATATCACTGTATTTCTGAAGGAAATATCTGATAAAGCAGTGTTTTTTTTAGCATAGGATCTCTACCACTCCAACAGCGCCTCCTGCTGGCAGAGAATGAGTTTGCATATATATGCCGC